CCTTTAGAAATGTTTAGTAATGACAATATACACACACATACTTCTAGATAATTGCCGGCTTTGTATTCTTTGCATATCTTATTTCTCTTTTCTTCCCCAGTCTTCTGATAGTGGCCATGTTTACTAAGGGCAGATTACTAGCTCTCCCTTTACTTCCTGAAAAGCCAGCACATGTGACTAGGAAATATGACAATGCCCATCATCTCATGGGGGGAAAATGCCTTTCCCTGAGACCTCATGAGATTACAGATGAGATTTCCCAGCAATGCTCTACTGATGACAGGGCAATCCCAGTGCGCTTTATTTTGGCAACCTGAAGTCATTTTGCCCTTTCAAAGCAGGAAGTGAATGTTCTGCAAGTGTAAGTTTTTTTAAATCACAGCATTTTACACCTGACATGTCTATGTTATCATTAATCATCATACATAGAGGGGTGCATTGGTAGAATTAGATTTTTGAGTGTAAAGGTCCGCAATTTGCATAATTTTACAGAACAATGCAACATAGCGAAATGGTAAAGCTCAAAGTTAAGGTTTGTGTTTTACTTTAGGAGTTTGTTTGTCACTTCGCATGATAAAAAGATAGTGTGGTTCTGAAAGGCTGCACTATTATTGCCTGACATGCTAAAAGCACGTCAATATATTTTGGTGCTTTCACACCGTGACTTGTAACGTCACATCACTTCCATTGTAAGCACAATGTGGAAGCATTGTGTTTACAATGATCTACTACAAGTGCTCCTATGGAACACTGTGTAGCAAAGTTGGAAGCCCGGGAGTTGACTGTTGCAGTCGGCAGTTCCAGCCTGAACCTTTGTCTGGTACCCTCCAGAGCTGCTGAATCCCAATGCCGTTTTAAGGCTAGGTTCACACCTAGGTGACACCTCACTGTGCGGCAATCGTGCACAATTCCGAGCAGACCGCCACGCGGTCAGGAGTCGCCAAGGTGTGAACCGATCGCGCTGTGGGTGCCATTATTTTCGCACTGCGCGGTTTCCCGCCGCAATTTCGCCCGTGCTTACGAACATGATTATGGCTAAAACAGCCGTGCGTCGTGTATCACAAAAAAAAGGTACTTGTACCTTTTTTCTGCGATTGCTGTGCGGATGTCACCCCATTGTGTCGGGTGTCGTGCAGAACCGCACGACACCCGAGACACGCGTCCCAGGTGTCGTGCGGTGTAGTGCAGGTGTGAACCTGTCCTAAAACAGCACTGAGACAAATAGCCACTGTCCGTCATAGTTACTAACCTAAAAACAAGCATGCCATATGTAAAGTCAGAGTGTTGTCAGAACTAGTGATCTGTGTACTTGTCCCATGTCAGCCACTCAAAGTTTAAAAGCCAATGAATGAACATGATGGCAACTGGTATATTGACATCTTCCTTTAGTTTACCTTTTTAACACTTTTTAACATGTAAAAATGATATGTTCTCGTAAACTTCTCTTATCCCCTTTTTATCTCCGATCCTTCACAGTATCATAATAGATAGATAAAAGCACCCTAGCCACTCATACCCATTCAAACAACAAGAGTCCCAGAGTGCCCAGTCAATTTTTTCTCTGTCTTGTCCTCTACCCATTTCTCTTCTCTGCCTTCCTTATCCTCCTGAACTCACCATCCCTTATATAACTAACATTTAGATCTATGTTTGTGCATAGAGGTGCCTTTTTTGTAGTGTCAGACAAGTGCATTGTCATGCGTCTAGGGCTGCAACTAATGATTATTTTCATAATCGATTAGTTGGCCGATTAAATAATTAAAAAAAAATTACACACCATCCTTAAATTTAAAATAAATCACACAAATGCAGTGTTACAAACAAAGTTCACTTCAGAATAAAACTGCATGCACAAATTTTTGCAATCGCACTGCACTGAAACACACGGCATTGCGGTACCATACGTTCCAGTGCGAGCGATCACACTGTGGGTGGGAGGTGCATTTGGGGTGCCAATTAAATTAATTGGTTTTGTAAAGCAATGCGTTTTTCCAATGCGTTTTAGAGTATAGGATTTAGAGTGGATAGAGTTAACAGCCAATTATCAAGGTTTGGCAATACCTGTAGTCAGAAGATGGGGAAATCTCTTAGACTTTTTTCTTTCAGCAATTGTGGCCAACTAAAGTCTGGTATACATTTATTGAATTTCGTCCGGTTCTTGATAAACCAGCTGAAACTAGCATAGTGGGTGTCGCTGTCTGCACCCTTCCGCCTGGCATCCCTCGATCAGCTAAATGAAGGGGAAAGTTAACAAATTCTCAGCCGAACTGAGCTAGTAGCCAATCAGCTGGCGCCCCCTGTCAGAATACAATAGAAATAGCGGGAGATTCCTCAATCAACAGTCATAAGCATTAATGGAGAAATCTGACTACTGGCTGAACGAAGAATATATATAAAAGTGTATACCCAGCTTAAGTGGCTACCATTCATGCCTTGAGGCTTTGGGCCCCAAGTTTAATGCCCACTGGGGACACTGTCTATATGGAATATCTGTATGTTGTCTGTGAGGGTTTCATCCCGCAAATCAAAAAGATATAGTGTAAAGCTGGCCATACACCTATAGATTATCTGCAGATTTTCTATGGAAAAACTGCAACAGATTCCATTTAGGCTAAACTGTGTAGATGGAGGAATCTCCCACTGGGCCAAGCTTCAGTATCTTGCTAGTCGGCCCCGCTGGCTCTCAAAATACCTGAACAATGTCTGCATCCAATCAGATTGTTCAGGTATTTTGAGAGCCAGCGGGGACGAGATACTGAAGCTTGGCCCAGTGGGAGATTCCGTCATCCACACAGTTTAGCGTAGATGGAGGAATCTGCTGCCCTTTTTCCATCTGACCATAGAAAATCTGTATATAATATATAGTTGTATGGCCAGCTTTAGGGTAATCAGGTCTATTGTGAGTACAAATGTAATAAAAGACATAAGACTATGGTCTGCTTTAGGGAACAATAGCTGATGTGAATGGTTTTAAGTACTGCACGGTCTGTTGCTACTATAGAAATATGGGAAATAAATTATCCTATTTTCCTTACAGCTATATTGTTGGCACTAGGGCTGCAACAACTAATCGACATAATCGATTATTGAAAAAGTTGTCAACTTTTTCAATAATCGATTAATCGGCTTCCGGTCAGTTTGCCCTGTTCACAGCTCCACACGCTGTGCGGCGCACCTCTTCCCCACCTCACGCTCGCCGCTGCCAGACCCGCTCGCATCCACGCTCCACACGCCGCACCTCCTCCCCGCCTCACATTTCCTGCCCATCCACGATCGGCAAGGCACGCGGGGAGATGTAGTAAGGAGGAGCAGGGGTGGGGGGATGACAGCCGCTGATAGACAGGTCCGATCTCAGAAGCAAGTTGCTGGAAGACTGCTCAGGTAAGCCTGCACTTTCCCACACATGGTACTCTATAATGTATTGCTGGGATTTGTATTTCTCTATAGCTGATGGTACATTGTACTGTACATTATACATAGGAATACAAATACCAGCAATGCATTATACACTGTATGTATAATGTATTGCTGGGATTTGTTGTACTCCTCTATAGCTGGTGATATTCTGCATTGCGCTGTATAGAGGACTACAGGTCCCAGCAATAATACATTATACAGCGCAATGCGGAATACCACCAGCTATAGAGTACTACAACAAATCCCAGCAATAATAGATTATAAAGTGGTACAATGCTAAATACCACCAGCTATAGAGGACTACAAAACCTAGCAATAGTACATTATACAGCGCAATGCAGAATATCGCCAGCTATTATGTACTATTGCTGCGATTTTTTGTATTCCTCTATAGCTGGCGGTATTCTGCATTGCGCTGTATAATGTGCTTTTGCTGGGTTTTGTAGTCCTCTATAGCCGGTGCCATTCTCGTTCATTGCTGTATAATTTTACACTTCACTATATTGCACACCACTATCTTTTTTCTTTTTTACTTCCACCGCTCCATGCTTGCTCCTGTGATGGACTACAACCTCAATACAAACTAGCAGTCCTATCACTGGAGCCATTTTTTAAACTTTATTTTATTGTTTATCCGATTAACCGACTAATCGAACCTAATAATCAGCTAACTAATCGATTTTGAAAATAATCGTTAGCTGCAGCTCTAGTTGGCACTGTTACTTTTAACCAAGTTTTTAAATAGAAGATGGTAATTGACCCCAAAAGCAGGGCAAGTTTTAAAGACAGCTAACTCCAAGCCCCACAGAATACATGATAAGCGAGAGACTGCCCACTGACTAATAATAAAAACTGCACAAAATATGTGCACCGTCAGGAATATAAAAGTGTCGATAACACTGGATTGGACTGTTTCAAATTACTCTTGTAGTTTCAGCATCATCATGTTTCTTTATCAGTTCCAGGCTGACCAAGGTCAAACAACTGAGAAGCCTGCCAACCCAGACTACCAGAAACAGGAACCAATACAGAGCAACCCAGAGTGAGGTGCCAGCTTTCCTCCCTTGCACTGATACTTCAATTGATTAACATGCTCTGCTATCTTGGAAAGGGTTTGAATGTCACAAATGTCACAAGCACCATCAAGATTAAAAAAAAAAAAAAAAATGATTACTGTTACATTCAGATAATGTAGTTCATTTAGCTATGACGAGAACAGAATAATTGGTTGCCAGATACCTCAGCTAGAACAGGTGGAATCATACATAAAATACACTTCATTATTTAATTATTTCTAAGCACCTACTTCACTTACACTAGCCACACATGGCCTCAAAATGAATAAGGAAACGGGAGAATGTGTTTGTTTTATTTTCCTAATTAAACACAGCAAGTGGAAAATAAGCTACTTGACAAATAAGAAGGAACACGTGATTTAAATTCTGCAGTAACAGATCACAAGACATTGCTATTTTAATTACAACTTCAAATCTCCATGTTCAGCCTCTGGTACAGGCACTCAGTGGCACCGGCCTGTAGTAATAAGAGGTCATCTACAAAGACATTTCAAAATAGTCACTTACCTCTGTAGTCAAATGAAATGACATGAAAACCTATTGAGCCGAGGACCTAGTAAGAGAACACAAGACTAAGTACAATTCCCAAACAAAATAAAAAGTCTGAATAAAATAAATGTCTGCAGTTTATGATTTATACATTATTTTCACATAACGAAACCTCCTGTGTCTTATTCGAAGAGATCCTCTCAACTAAACACAGGCTGGTAGTCTGTATTGCATGTACCTATAGAGGAACTGCCTGCTGCAGACATTTTAACCTCCTTAAAGCGGACCTTCACCCCCTTTGGCTAAAAATCACATCAGCATCAAACAAGCATATTTTTTATTGTACTTCAAATTTATTTTTCCCCCCTTCCTGGTCCTCTTTGGCACAAATAATGTAATCGTGCCCAAGAATTGCATCCAGGGAAGGTTACGTCAGCAGTGCATTGCTGGGAAATCTCATCTGTATTCTCATGAGAACTCAGGAAAAGGTATTTTACTCCCCTGAGATGATGTGCATGGTCATATGTCCTAGTCACATGTGCCAGAGCCAGGAAGTAAAGGGAGATCTAGTAACATGCCCTTAGTTAAAATGGCCATTGTCAGAAGACTGGGGAAGAAAAGAGAAATAAGGTATGCAAAAAAAAAAAAAAAGAAGCCGGCAATTATCTAGAAGTATGTGTCTGTAGATTGTCATTACTAAACATTTCTAAAAGGTGCCTTTGTTGTTATTTTAAAGATCTGGGTAAAGTTCCCCTTTAACAAAGATATCAGCACCCCAATACCACCACAAAATCAGCACGGGAGTGTCAAGATTATAAGACTTCCAGGGTGCCCACTGTGCTCCTACCGCCACACTGCTGCAAGTACAAAAAAATCTCCCAAGATGGGCACTAAAAGCGGCTTCATATTAAACAACGACAGCAGGTTTGCTATGCAGCAGCTTTAAGACATTTTTGCAAGTGCAAAAACAGTAAGCTGACATGAGGCTGAGGGCTCAATCCGACACTCCCAGAGGTGTTGATTTTCAGGCAGAATTGCAGCGCTGTTATCTCTGCTTAGTACTTTCAAATTGCTGCAGCAGACAGAACTTCTACAAATAGGCATAAAACAGATTGCCTGCTTGTGTGTTTATTTGTCAGGATAGAGGGCAGACAAAGTGCAGTAAACTATATCCAAAATTCAGAGAATTCTTTTGGATTGTAAGCTCTCATGAGTAGGACCCTCCTAACCATCTTGCTGTGAATTGCATTGTAACTGTACTGTCCCCTTTATATTGTAACACGCTGCACAAACTGCTGGCACCATATAAATCCTCTATAAGGGATAGTTCACACCAGATTCAGTTGTGACGCAGTCCATTCAGTTTGGCAGCTGCATCAAAATCGTGTCACAATGCTTTCCAATGGGATTTCTGGTGCTCTGTTAACACCAGTGTAGTCAGTTCCGATGCAATCAGAAAAAATCCTGTTTCCCGCATTTTAGCTGCACCTGATCGCAATGGAATGCATCAAAACACATGCAAAGGCACTGGACTGCACCTGAAAGCCCATTATAAGTTGGAAAAAAAAAAAATCAAAATCACGGCAAAACGTATTGCACTGCAGCCGCGCAGATGCACGCCGTTCTGATCCAGTTATGGTGTGAACTAGTCCTAATACTAGTTCTGCCTTCATTTATGTGACCACAGTACACTGAGACCTGACTGGTTCTTTGAATTACTGCCCTTTGCCAGCTAGTAAAAAAAACTAAAAGGTTGAGTGTTCTGCGCTACGAAACAGACCCCAAGGGGGAGATTTCACAGAGAGTAAGGGTTAACCGCAAGCTGCTGAAACTAAGGCCAGATAAGCCTCACAAAATAGTTTTAGAATAGTGAGCGCTATGGGTCTCCTGGAGTGAAGTGAGAATCCAACAATCAGTGGTATAAAAATATATATGAATATCTCTAAGCAAACATCTTATAATGTGAAATAAAAATTGCTGAAGTGATATGTGAATAAACAAACCAAAAATCAACAATGTAAATCGACTAATAAAATTGCTTAAATATAAACAAATAAATCTTCAATAAACCGTGTGTCCGTGATTTTGTGCTTATGTTATGGCTGAAAGGAGATGGTCTTTGCTCCGTCCTTCCGTGGGATCCTGCAGTATACTTTCGGTCCTGGTCCCAAAAAGAGATGTCGGTATCCCGATAGTAACAATCCCCTGGTGATGGTAAGATCCCACGGAAGGACGGAGCAAAGACCATCTCCTTTCAGCCACCACAGTGGAAGAGAAAGCTGACTCCCTCCCGGCATCTGGTGAGTGCAAGCCCTACGGGGACCCATCGCTTCTCCGACACATCATCCCCCAGGATACGATCATCTTGGATATACATATTCAAGCTTTTGCCTCTTTTAGATTGGAGTACTTTTGGACACTATTTAACCTCAAAGTTTAGGACACGTTTATGATACACCACTGCATATCTATCAGCACATCACAGATGATGATAGACGCAGTTATATGCACACTGTAATACAGAAAAAAATCAGAGAAAAAATCACGGACACACGGTTTATTGAAGATTTATTTGTTTATTTATATTTAAGCAATTTTATTAGTCGATTTACATTGTTGATTTTTGGTTTGTTTATTCACATATCACTTCAGCAATTTTTATTTCACATTATAAGATGTTTGCTTAGAGATATTAATATATATTTTTATACCACTTATTGTTGGATTCTCACTTCACTCCAGGAGACCCATAGCGCTCACTATTCTAAAACTAGTAAAAAAAACTGTTTATAATCTTAATAAATAATGGCTTACATTGCACAATGAAAAAAAGTGTTGGAAGTGTCACAGCAAACCGGGATGGATTTTGTTTACATATAAATTAATGTATACAAATTTTCTTTGTTGCATTTCCAGCTTACATCATTGTCCTAATTACAGAGATTGGCTTCTGCTCTGCTCCAGGGCTAGTCTAACCATCTCACACCCTTGTAAGTATACAGAATGATACTGCAAACTCTGCAGATATTTTATCATGTACGTGCACCTTTCCAAACCCTTCACATAAGGGCCCTTTCACACTTGTCTATTTTCCTGCACAAACCTGCAAGCATTTACAGCATGAAAATAATTTCAAGTAGAAATTCACATTTGGCTGGTAAATATATATGTGCTGCAGCAGAATATTTTTTAAATAGAGGACATAATAAGGGGAATTCAAAACTGGAGCAGACAAAATCTCGAGCAGCTGTGCATAGCAACCAATCAGCATCCACCTTTCATTTTCAAGGCTTAACTGAACAAACTGAAGAGAGAAGCTGATTGGTTGCCATAGACAACTGCTCCACTTTTAACGAATTCCCCCCAATGCATGTTTGTGGGTTAATGTGCGTTAAGCAGACCCATTGAGATGGATGTTAAACACAGAAAAAAACATAGTGTATGTATCATGCAGTTTTATACATCTTGAATGCATCGGCACCATGGATAACCCCCGTTCTAAATGTTTACCCTCACTGCCTAATTAACAAACAAAAAAGTGGATATAAATAAATAAATATACATAAAAATCATATAATCTCACAAATATGTGCAAAAAAAAAATACATGTCAATGTAAGGGCCCAATTGTTGTATCTCGGGGCAGTACTGCTTCCAGTAGCAAATGCAATGTTTAAATTCTGGTGACTTGAATCTACCTTAACTGTGTGATAGAAAAAAAAAAATCAAAACACCTTTACAAAAAATGGCCAGGCACACCAGGCCCAAGAAGATTTTTGCCTTGCCAGAGGTATACATTTGGGAAAGGGGCTGAAGGGGGTTAGTATAGGTCAGGGGGCAAAAGCATAAATGTACTTAAAAAACCCCCCAAAAAAACATTTTTGTTATCCAATAAAGCTGTCCATGGGTAGAAACTGATAAACATAGCAGCTGAAAAAATACTTTTTATAAAAAAATCCCACTATAAAATACATTGCAATTTACCTTGTATAGCTGTACCCTGTGATCACCTCCTCTGTGTGCAACAAAAACAAAGACGAGGTTAACTTAATAATGAGGTAAAAATAATATAGTATTCAATAGACTTTATTTTAATATCGGATTGAAATAAAATCTGTCAACAGACCCACACAAAAAAAAAATTTAAATAATAATTATAATATAAATCATTTAGCTTTAAGATAACA